TCCTGGCGTTGTTGTTGTTGGTGTTGCTGCAGCATAATTTAATTTGAATGCATATGAGCCCCAAAGTGGGTAATTGAATAAGTTTCACTGCTGCCACATCGCAGTTCGTTCCTCGCCTTTTTGGTTCGGGTTTCTTTTTTCTAAATTTGATTAGCGCCACGACTCGAAAAAGTATTTTGCACGTCCCGAGAAGTGGTGTGTGGGGGCGTGGAGGGGCTCGAGGGCTTTTGGGGGGTGCAAAATATATTCCAATTTATTTTCTGGCCAGCTTAGCAGGCTGCTTGCCACTCAAATTGATATGTAAACGTGGGGGGGTTTTTAATGCCGCCGAACAGTTCGCTGAGTGGAGGTAAATTTACACACTCGACTCGTGTAAGCTTCGATTTGTGTTTGCTTTCCGCGAAATCGCGAATTTTCGGAGAGCAGAATAAATCAGCGGGAGCCACGCCCTCGGGCGATTCGATTGCAATTTCTGTGGCTTGTAATCAAAATCGATTTCTCATTTTCGCACACTTCCCTCGGCGAAATTGGCCACAATTTTCGGAGCCTCCTCACGTACGAAACGAAGGAAATTGTTTCTAATGTGATTAAGGTCCATTCATTTGCCGCATTATCCGGGAAAAGGTTCGCTTAAGGTCAGACACTTGATTAGAGTAATCTTTTCGCCGATTTTCGGTGTTTTGGCGTCTGTCATTGAACTTGAAACGGGCGGAAACGAAATCAAGGCATATATTTAGCCAGCAATCGCGAAAGGAACTTGGCTAATTGCCTGAGAGTCGAGATTACGACGGGCCTTGCCTCATTAATCATTAAAATGCATATTATTGCTGGGGCGGCTGTTTAATTAATTTGATTAGCATTAATCGTTTGAATGCGAATTATGAATCAATTTATAGCAGTGTCGCTCTCGCTGTCTCTCTTTTTTCGCTTCTCGTTTCCGCTTGGAGCTGCCAAAACGAGTTCGTTGCCTAAGTCTTTCGTTTCAACCCTCTTTCCTTTTTTGCTCCCAGCATTCGAGACTTAATCATTTTGACATGTCTCGCCTTCATTTGCATAATTTTGAATAACGTTTAATATCGGGACACGCCCCCAAAGTTACCGCTTTGAATCGGGCGTGGGTCGATCGCCGCGATCGACGATTATTGATCGAACGGATCATGAATATGCAGAATGCCGCTGTTAATTGGACAGCTCACAAGATTGTTAGCTTCTTAAATGCGGCATTGAATGAGGGCCACGCTTGACTGGGTTTGAAATGCTTAATTAGCTATCTTAACTGGGCTCCACAAAATGAATATTGGCAATTATATAGGTTTTCTTAGAAGAGATAAGTTGATATAATATCGTATTTTGGCCGAAACACTTCGAAAAGCTGTTATAATATGGAGTGTAATAATGGGAGGCTCAAAATACAAAAAATGTAGGAAATTTTTTTAGCTTTAAGACCATTAGCCAAAAGACCATCTTAAATGAAAAGAAAAGTTGCTGGATTTAAGCCATTTTCTAAAAAGGCCATTTCCCGGATTTTTGACAGCAGTCAGAGATGAGGGGTCATGGGATCAGTTAAATTACAATTAAATTGCATTCGGTGGCATAGATAGTTGGGCTTCTTTGGTTTCCAAAACTATACTTTGTTTGGCCATTTCAAAATCTTATTCAAATTAGAAAAGTTAATGACTTAGAATTAGTGAATCGTGGTCAATGTTTAGCAAACCCATTTTCTGGAAATTTGGAAAGGAAAAAACGACAAAAATTTATAAGATTAACTAATGATAACTAATGCAATCTTTTTTTTTAACCTTATCTTAGGTCATGGCTGTGGCGAAGAATAGAGAAGAGGTCTGCTGCGAACTGGTCGTCGGAGTCATCCAGAGTTATTCCCTAGGAAGTGAACGGGAACACAGCGTAGGATTCTTACTTTAACAATAGTTCATTGACTAGTCTCGCATTTAAGCATTAGGACTCAGAAGACGTGGATTGTCCCAAAATGTGCAGAATAAGCCTAGGGAATATTTATATTTAATACACGTATTATATATGTTAATAAACTAGAACCACTGAAATTGTGTTATTCTTTTTGGGGGTTTGAATTTGTTTGGCCAAGAGAAACATATCCAACCAAAGCTCACTTTGAAGTACCAGGCGATCAGAATGCAATAGAAGGCGGTTGCTCTTTTTTTCGGGATTTTCCAATTGTTCCCAAAAGTATGCCACATATTTTTTATGGAAAATTTATACTGCCAAAAAATGCCAACTAATGCATTCTGTTGGCCTGGTATTTGAAATCTAAGTGTCACAAATTTTCCAAATTTTTTTCAATTATGTTCAAAATAATTTCTTATAATCAAACATATTTACACAATCATAATTTGGAAAGTTTGAACAGAATAAAATTCTGAACTGAACCCAGTTTTTATTATTTTAGCTCACTTATTGTTAACACAAGCTTTTCGGTTAATTATAGGTTGTGAAACAAACTTTCATTGATTGACTTCCATGGCGAGCTGATCGCGGTCAGGTGACCTCATCTCATTTCACTCAACTCCCTTGTAAGTGCCTCGGAATTCAATTAATAACCCACTATGACCATGTGAACCCCCGAAAAGGGGGAGGGGCCGACCTACAGCAAAGCCCATGCCCAGTCATGCTCGGCTTGTTTGGTTGGAGCTCTCCTGCTTAGCCGACGGATCCCATCCAGCAGATCCCAACCAGCGGAGCTCTCACCATGTCAGCCAGACGGACAAATGTTTGCACAACACACGATAATGATGACAAGCCAAATTAGCTACTAATTTTCACACACACACGCCTTACACACACACACACGTATGCGGGGGCATCAGAACGTGGAAAAGGGTCAGTCGGAGCGCCAGGACCTCACACAGCTGACGTTCGTTAATTTCTGACACCGGAAGTTGAGGGTGAGGCAGGTTTGCCGGGGGGATCAAGAAATTGCCATAAATCAGCATTTGATTATCCTTTGGCCCGCCTAATTCTACCTCTCAGCTAATTTTCTGCTCCCTCCTCCTCCCGATGTCATGTGCGTGTTGGTTTGTTTTTAATTTATTAATTACTAGGCGGTCCCTCTGCACTGCCGACTCGGATCTGGAATCGCTGGCCCAGGGCTTCCGCTATTAGCGAAATCTTCTCATCTCCTTTCTGGGTGATCCGCCGGTCAGCGATGAGCCAAGAGTAACGGATGCCAGGCATGCGAAAGAGGCCAGAAGAAAGCCAGAGTCTTTTTGGCACATGAAGGCCTCGATCTTTACATAACTAGTTCAAACATATCTACGGAACTAGAAGAAATATCTTACTTAAACTGTTGATCCAACTACGGGGCCTTAATAGAAAACGTAGCTTCGGATTGTAATTTTCCAAAAGATATATCTCGGCTCAGAACAAGCCAAACGGGGCTCTCTCCCCCTCTTTTCATGCTAAACGGCGGCTGTCAAGCGGCCCAAACAACTGCCACTTGGCTACCCAAAAAATCAGAGAAGAGATCGCGGGGCAGAGCCACGATCACCTCTGGTGGTCGGAGGACGTCACTCAAATTGAGGTCCGGCAAATGAGAATTGTCCGGGTGTGGGGAGGGGTGTCCATATCCACCGGCCGGCCAATCTCCATCTCATCTTCGTCTGTGAGCCGGAGTTGTTGGATTTTTAATTAAGCGTGGCCTGCACCCGAGGCTTTTCGCCAAGTAGCTTCCCTCGACGGGGAAGTTGGTTTGTTGTTGGTATGTACGTTCGAGTAGCTCTCGGCTCGGATGTGGAACAGGTCTTGTTAGTAATTTTTAATTTGAGCTCTTCTGACAGCCAGCTGTCATATAAATTTAATTGAATTTACATTTTTATTAATTGCCAAGTCTGTTAGTGAGCCGAGCTCGATCTACGAGTGCTACCCGTTGGCATGAATGGGAGATGAGTTGCTCAAACCGACTGGCTACTCATCAGCCCGTCCACATCCACATCCACGCATCCACATCCACGTCCACTGCCACTGCCACTCCGTGAATGAATTTAATTTGGGATGATTTGTTGATGGTTTCGTTGCGGTGATTTCTTGCTGACTAATTTAATGTGATTTTTAAATTGCCAGCCGGCCGAGGCTGAGTGTGTGGCCCCTGAGAATCTGGGGGAATCGGAATCATCTCGGGAGATTGATTGGGCTTGGAGTTGGGGAGCGTTTTTACGGAATTAATGAGATGACACGCCTCTCGCTGGGATACGAAACCCCCTCGCGATCATTATGAACTAATCTAATTTGCAGGCCAGCGATGACAATCGAAGTCGCAGCAATAGCCTTCCTTTCCTCTTGGCCAACAGCGCTAACGAGTCGATCTTCTGGCTGCTCCTTTTCGCAGCACCCTTTCGGTTTAATTCGCAAATCAAACAACCGCAGGGCAGAGCTCGGAAATTCGCGCATAAGTAAATTAAAAATAAATTTATGTCCCGGCCATTGGGGCAGCCAGAAAGAAAGGGGGACAGGCGGCCGGAGGGGAAGGAGCATGTGTAAACGGGTTTCAGACGATCGCGAATACAAATCCAATTAAAATTTCCCAACTGCGCGATGGGCGGAGGGGCGGGTGGGCGTATCGCATCCTGCGACTGGCGCTAAGCCGTAAAACGAAGCTGTGCGCTGATTTAAAACACTGCGGGGCGTGCTTATTGATTAAATACAAATTGCATTCATTCATCATCTAGGGGCTGCTTGATATCGGTGTTTGCATTGTTGCTGCATTGGCTGGCAATTAAATTAGGATTTGAGGTGGATGCTCTCCTCGTTTGTTAAATGAAATGCAATTACATCGCCCCCGGAAGGGGAAATAGAAGGAACATATTTAATGTTATTTAAATCCAATAACTTTGCGCGCCAAGCCCTGCCAACTTAGTTGCGGTACGAACTATCGACTGTATCGAATATAAACTCACTTGTCTTACTCTAACGTTATCCGAGACTTCAACCAATTTTAAGCATGGTGCAAGAAAAAGTTTTGTAGGGAAAATTAGGGATAACTTTAATTTACTATTCATTGTTTTTCTAATGATATTGTTGTTGTTAAAAAAATTCTCATTAGATTACAGAACTTTGCTTGGATCTGCAACCTAAAACACACAACTACTTCTGCAAGAACCAGCTGTTCCCACACGAGATTACTCAAAGTTATTAATGATTTATTTACGGCGAGCACTATAGTGCGATTCGATGCCAGGCAGCAGCGACACACAAAGACTGGTGGTCTCCCAGGACGAGGATGAGGAGATCCTGGGCACGGATGGCAGCTTTGTGCCCGCCTTTCGCCCGCAAGACCACCAGGACTATTTATTGGAGGACGATCGGTGTCTGCTGGAGCGCCAGCAGGACGAAGTGGTCCTGGTGTCCAACGAACCCAGAAGCGGCAGGCTCTTCACCTACTTCGTGTTCTACCTTCTCGGAATCGGCACCATGACACCGTGGAACTTCTTTGTGACCGCCGAAGACGTAAGTTTAATGAATGGAAATTTTCCACACCACACCCGCATCCTCCTAGTCAAGTGACATGAACTTCGGACGTACACATATGTGGATTCCAAACAAGGGAGCAACTGGGCCAAGCGCAATTCTAAGGCGCGCAGCTTATCAGCTTTGCTATTGTTTTTTTTACGACTTACGCTGAGACGATAACTCTTTTCGAATTTTCTTTGTTTTCGCTGATTCAGGCTTTAACCATCTTTCTGTCTCCCTCTCTCAGTACTGGAAGTATAAGTTTCGCAATACCTCTCTCAACTACACGGATCTGGACGAGGAGCTCACCCCGCTACAAAAGAGTTTCACCTGCGACTTGGCTCTTACGGCCACTATTTCGGGCACGACCTTTCTACTGCTCAATGCCATCTACGGTCACCTTGTGTCCCTTCGAACCAAGATGCTGGGAACGCTATGGGTGATCCTCGTGTTGTTCGGTGTCACCACCGGCTTTGTTGAAGTCAACACTGACTCGTGGCAGGAACAGTTCTTCCTGATCACGCTCATCATCGTGGTGCTGTTAAATAGTGGGTATTCGATCAAATTCTAACAAATAAAACATAATATATTCATCTTTTCTAGTTTCTGCGGCTACTATGTCGGGAGCCCTTTACGGAGTCGCAGGCCTGTTTCCCTCCGAATTCATTACCGCCGTGGTCAGCGGGCAGGCTCTGGGCGGCATTCTCACGGCCCTGGCCTTCATCCTCGTGCTCGCATTTGACACGGGCCCCAATACCACCGCCTTCATCTTCTTCATCGTGGGCGGAGTGCTCATCCTGCTCTGCATAGTTTGCTATGTGATCTTGGCGCGGAAGCCCTTTTTCAAGTATTACCTGGAGGGCGGCGACAAGTACAAGGTAATCCGAGCGGTGCCCTCGCACAGCCGCAATGAAGGAGCCGAGGGTCTGACGCTTGAGCCAATTTTGCGGCAGGTCATGTCGAAGATATATCTGCATGCTGTCTGCCTCGCACTGCTCTACGTAACGACACTGTCTGTCTATCCGGCGGTTACAGTGCTAATGCAGTCTGAGGGTGGCCACAACGAGTGGACAGGTGAGCTATACACATTCCACCTTTAAAATCAATGTCCTCAACAGATTCCTTTCAGATGTCTATTACCTACCCGTGGTCAACTATCTGATCTTCAACTGCGGCGACTACTTTGGGCGGCTTTTTGCCGGCTGGCTGGAGCGACCCATCAACCAGAACACTTCGCTGCTATTCATTGTAGCGCGCATGGTGTTCGTTCCGTTCTTCCTGTGCTCCAACTCCAGCGAGCACAACTTTATGCCCGTGTTGGTGAAGCACGACTACACTTTTATCGCGATGATGGTTGTGTTTGCATTGTCAAATGGGTATTTTACTAACATACTGCTCATAATGGCGCCCAAGAGCGTGAAACAGCACGAGAAGGAGCTGGCTTCCTCGATTATGGCTGCCGCTCTGAGCTGTGGCATGGCCGTGGGATCGCTGCTCAGCTTGGTCTTTGTTCAGATGCTGTGATCACGCTATAACAATGAGTCTGCAGATGGTGCCTTAGGAAATGATTGAATCTTTAAGCTTTAAAGTCTTATTTTACCTGATATTTGTTACATATCGTAAATTTAAGCAATGTTCTTAAAGTCAATTCTGTTTGTAAAAACTTTTTAGTGCTCCAAATTGCCACGAATTTTCAAGATATCCCATGTTTAACTGTTTGTCAAAGTTTTTTTTTACCAATGTACGTTATAATATTGTGTAGATGTAAGCTTTAAAGATTTGCTTAAAATAAGAACAAATTTTTTAACAAATTTAAAAACGCTGAAATTCTTTAGGTTTAACGTTTATTTTTAGTTTTTCTTCGGATCACAACAACAATGTGGATTAATTTTATTTGTTTTCCTTTTGACATTATTCTTTGATTTAACTAATGAACTCCATTGTAAAAGTTGACTGCAATTGATTTAAGATGTACACACTTTTATTGAACTTTTGTTTACCGCCCTGCACTTTGAGGTACGATTTTAAAGGCTATGAAATAGATCAAATTTTATGAAAGCACAGTTTTTAAGTAATCGGGGGGCTACCACGACTTACATTTAAGAACAAGGTTTTGACTGACTTGGGTTGCTGGAAACCCGACCCTTCTCACATTTTAAACCTGTGGGGAACAGTGGAACAAAGAGATCTCGGAATGATTGTTTCAGACTTTTAGGAATAATCACCTTTCCAAAAAAATATTTCAAACATCGAATGCTTTGCAGAACTTTGTTAACCTCCTTTCAGTTTCAGGGCGACACTTTTTACTTGGTGTATCTTGTTAATTTGGATTCACTTTACTAGTTTTGAGTAAACTTTATCTTAAATTCTTGCTAACATCGAGAGTTATTGGTTTCGGTAAACGTTTTATAAGTGCCTCGGCAATATTATTGCAACAATGGGGTTCGGCTTCTCATGTATGTCGATTTTTGTATAACTCTAGGGTAAGTCTAACATTTATTTAACTAGTTTAAGATATAGGCAACAACAAATTCGTCAGTTGCTCTGCTCAAAATGTGTCTTTCTGCTCCTCCTTTATGGCCTAAATGTTTCCGTATTTATTTTCCTTATTCATTCTTTGTTTCCTTCGAAATCTTACGCTGCTCTTCGGGTTTTCTGGTGTTTGACACCGACTTGCTTTTCAATTAAATTTCATTTTCGTATAAGTTATGAGTTTACCGTTAACTTAGCTTAACAAACACACGTAAACAACGAACATCGATTAAAGCCTTGATTGAAGTGGGTGTAAGGTAATCGAGCGGGTGGCATGCAAAAGATAGTCTGCGGTTAAGAAAGCAACTACAACATCAACATCAAGGGTAGGGAAAGCGAACAACATCGACAGCACACAGATACGGATGCAGATATAGTTGATCGGGTAATGCTTACATACGTACAACACCAAAACTATGTATTTCGAACTGGATAATGCTGCTGAATTGGATAAGTCAAGCCAATTACACGGTTACACAGAGATAGACACTGAACGAGTTAGACGATAGACAACCAACACCGACCGACCGACCGATCGATCGGAGAAACACGCACTCTGGATACTCTGGATATTGCTTGTTGCTATGTGGATATACATATCGTATCTTGGGAACAATCTTAACATGGAATCTACGACACACGCACACCAAAAACTACAACATCGATTGGGAAATAGAGCGGGCTCGGTTGAGTCGGTTTCGAGTAAGAGATACGGGGATTTACAACATCTAAGGTGGTTTTGCCGTCCAGTGAAATGTCCTTTCAACATTGTTTTGATTATTCTCATAGTGTTCGTTTAGATTACGTACTCGTTTGTGTGTTGTGGGCTATGCTTGAATTTTGGATTTCGTTACAAGGCAGCTTGGGTTCGTTTGATTCTAGTTCTTGTTCGATTACCTAAGGAGTGGCGTCTGGTCTACAACGAAGGTTAAGTACACTCATCAGTTTGCATATCTTATTGTTTGATTGTCTCGAGACTGCGGCTGGAGTCTACAGTTTGAGAGTCACACATGCGTTGGCGTGGTTCTCCGCAAACTGCAAAGTGCCGTTCGTATTGGTTTCCTTTCTTTTGTTTTTTTTGGTGTTGTAGGTTGTGTGCGACGTCGTCTGTGCGTGTGTGTGTTTGTGCGTTGGACGTATAGAAATTGTAAAATAGGGAAAACAATTCGATATAGAGTTTTATTGGAGCCTTCTCGCAACTTAATTAACATAAGAGCAGTGACTAAATCAAGAATAAATAGCAACCAACTGAAAAACAATTGACTAAGTGTTGGCCTAGACTTGTGCTTTGGCATCCGCGTCCGCTTCAGCATCCGCATCCGCATTCGCATCCGCCCTGTGTGCGCACGAGATTCATTCCGCAGCTTGTGCGAGCTTAGAGCCTTAGACTAATCGTATAAATAAGATCGATTAAAACTGACGTAAAAGAGTAATACACACAACCACAATTAGCATTAGATAAACGGAGCACTCGCCTCCTCCTCCTCCTCCTCCTCCTCCTCCTGCTCCTCCTCCTCCGATTAGACAAATAAATATACTTATGCACGTAGTTACGCTTGCTGCTTAATTAGACACTCAGAGTTTCAGCGAAGTTTGAATAGGAAGAAACCGTACGGTTCGACGGGGTTCGACGGACCGAGTCCGTCCGCGGATAGCCACCGATAGTCACAGTATACAGATACGCTACAAGTCAAGTACATCGTATATAGTACGTACATGCGAGAGAGTTACACCTAGTTTGTTCAGTTAGAAAACGCGTTTCGCTTGGATTAGAACTAGTCGAGGTCAGTTCCCGTCAGAAGGTGTGCGGGTGTGCGAGTGGGGCCACTCCGCCGCGGCTTAAATCTACGAAGACTGTTTCATTCTTTCAATGTTTCTGCTGCAAATACTGGAGACTACAACTATAGCTATAGAACCACAATTAATCCTACGGATTACGGATAGTTGGTTGCGGGGGCGGGGAGAAAATCCTCAATCCTTGGGGCCAGGCCCACTTTACGTCTTCATCTCCGCCGCTGCGGCGATGCTGTTGTGCGACTTGGCCGGCGAAATGGCCGAGTGGCCGCTGCCGGCTGCCCCCGCGTCCAGGTTCAGGGTGAGATTGTTGCCGGAAGGGGCCGACGAGCCGGAGCCCGAGCAGCCGTGGTGATGGGGTCCGTGGAAGAGCACCAGGAAGCCGCTGCTCGAGACGCAGCTGCGCGACTCCGCCTCCTTGTCGAGGATCTGACGAGCCTGCGAGGAAAGCGATTTGCTTGAGTATTGATCGAGATTCTCTTCTATTTAGGATACACTCACTTTGGAGCGGTGTTCCGCCAGAGCATTGCGCACCGAGTCGTGCTGCTTCTGCAGCTCATCCGTGCGCCGGTCGAAGGTCTGCTTCAGACGCACTCGCTCGGCCACGCCGCGTTCCACCACGGAGCTGGCCACCTCGCGCTTCATCCTGCGAATACATAATTAGAAATTAGACACGCAATGCAAGGGGACTGACTGGTCCAAGAGCACACCCACCTGACCAGCTCGTCCCGATCGCGGTGCACGGTGGCCAGGTTCTTGACCTCGTTGCGGCGCGCCTCCTGCAGCTGGTGCATCACCTCGCCGGTGACCTTGTCCAGCGAGGCCTTCAGCTGCTTGGTCTGGCCGGCCTGCGAGGTCTTCAGCACCTTCTCGGCGGCGGCGTAGATGGCCTCGTGGTACTTCTCCTGCAGCTCGCGGTACTGCGAGGTGTACTCCCGGCAGGCGCTGCGCAGGCGCGTCTCCTGGGTGCCGCCGTCCAAGCCGCTGCTCCCGCCGGCCAGATCCTCGCCAGCGTCGGCGGCGGCGCTCTCCTCGCTGCTGTCGCCCAGGTCTATGGGGCAGGCGGGGATCTCCACGCCCGGCTCGCTGTTGGGAGAGAGACAATTACTAATTTCAACGGCGTCGTCTGGCAGTGCCACGCCCCCCAAATCCCCCAGTCCCGCCCCTTCGCACTTACAGACTCTTGGTGCTGAGCCGCTTGACCAGCTTGTTGGTGATGGCGAACTTGGGCTTCTTGCCCTCCAGCGGACTGCCCTTCTGGCCGGCGATCTTGACCTTCTCCTTGTCGTGCTTCTTGCGCAGCGCCTCCAGCTTCTTCTCCATCTCGAGCCGCTTCTCCTTGACGCTCTTGTGCTCGAGGATCTTGTCGAGCGGCTCGGCCAGCACCAGGTCGACGTCGAACTGCGAGGACTCCACCTGGCGGATGGAGGTGCTCACGGACTGGTCCAGCGAGTGCTGGTGCTGGATGGAGGGGGCAACGATCGAGACGCTGTCCTCGCCCCTTCCGCCGTCCGTGCGGTCCGCGCTGACCTCCACACTCATCGCCGCCGCCGCCGAGATGCTGGCCCGGTGCTTCGGCGAGGTGGCGAGCGACTCCACCGGACGCAGCTCCTTCTTCTGGCCACCTACTTGGACGAAAACGACTGGAGGATCAGACAGAATCGAGCAGAGCGAGTGGGCGGGGGAAGATTGGGTTCGGGGTTCGGGGTAGTGCAGTTTGTGTGTCCGTCAACCGTTTGAGTGTGGGGTGTGGGTTGGTGGTGTAGGTGGTGGGTAGTGGGTGTCAGGTGTCAGGTGTGTTTTTGGTTTAACCAAATCCGAAAATCCAAAAGTACAACCGAAAGTTATATGAAACGTTACCAAAAAGAAAAGTAGAAAGAAAAGAAGGTAAATTAAAATCGCAAATCGCAACTCGTAACTCGGAGTGGGTGAGAGGTGCTACTCTACCGAAGAACTGACTGCCTCCAGGGCAGGTTACTCACACGACTTGGACAGGTCCTCGTCGGCGGTGCCCACAGCGTCGGCCTCGTCGGTCAGCACGGACAGCTGGATGTCGCGCTTCTCCAGCTCGCTCTGGTACTTGATGGGGTTGGCCAGGGCCTCGGCGAAGTTGGAGAGGTCGTCGGGCACGTAGTCCTTGACCACCACGCAGAGGAAGAGCGAGGCCAGGGCGATGGGCTGGCCCACCTCGGAGCGGAGGTTCACGTGCCGGTAGCCGGGACAGAGTCCGATCACGGGGAGCACGCGGTGGCCGATCAGCTTGCCGCCCTCCTCGTAGGCCGCGATCCGGATGCTGGCCAGCTCGGGCAGCACCACCTTCTTGAACACGAAGGGCTCCTCGTCGTAGACCGGGTTCATGCCGTTGTCCCGCACCGTCTTGGTGCGGAACTTCTTGCGCACCGTGTCCGCCGGCAGGCCGTACATGTCCACCTCCACGAACGTGTTGGCCCGCTTGTCCGTGAGGAACTGGCCGGAGAGCACGGTGATCGAGACGGTGCCCGCGATGATCCCGTCCACCGTGCTCTCGGCGAAGGGGTCCAGCCGGCGGTCCGAGCGGCGCATGAACTCCGGCTTGAGCAGGTAGCCGGAGCGGGCGTTGTACTCGAAGATGCCCAGGTTGAGCTGCATGGCCAGGTCGAGCGTCTGGAAGTTGAGCGCCACCAGCTGGCAGCCCGCGTTCCAGAACAGCTGCGGCATGAAGTTGGAGCTGTCGAAGCGGGTTCCCGCCGGGTAGACCCGCGACAGCTGGTGCTTGTTGTAGTTCACGAACTCGATGGGCCGCTCCTTCAGCAGAGTCGTCGCCTGCTTCTCGTCGAACGAGGACATCTCGTAGCAGCGGTTCTTCTCTGCAAGTTGAGCAGGCAAGGAAGTGATTAATCAGCATTATTCAGTAGGCAATCCCTTGTACTCACTCTCTGCGTTCTCGAAGGAGCTGAAGTGGATGGGCTGCACGTAGTTGACCAGCGCCGAGATCTCAGCACCCGCCTCCGTCTCCTTCTGGGCCTTGTCCGGCGGCGGCTCGTTGCCGCTGGGCGGATTGGGCGTGGTGTTGGGCAGGGATTCGTCGTCCGAGGAGCTGTCCGAGTCCGAGGATCCGGTGCTGTCCTTGGAGCTCTGGCGGATTTGCTGGTTTTGCGGTCGGACATGGAAGAGAGCAAGCAGAAAGGGTTGGGTTAGCTGACTTCTTATTTTGCGGGTGGCTAATCCATTTGTTTGCCGCCTGAGGTCACCAGCCGCATATTATGTATACGCAGTGTGGGACCCCCGGGCGGAACTATTAAATTGCATGTCATTGCATTGCTGGTCGAATCCCCGGAGGTTCAGTCACATTCGCCGAACGAGTAACGAGGAACAAGGGACGGCAGATGGAATATGAAACCCATTATTGTATGTTGTAGATGCCAGAGATCCTGCTCACCCCTTCACTTTTTTGCACAGGAAGAACGCATTGCTAGTTATTTCCTAGATGTTTCATACTAAACGAGTATTTCTAAAATTTAAGGTGTTAAATATTCCTCTTTTCAGTCCCTGCACAATTGTTGTAATTTAATTTGTGCTAAAGTATTTATGTATTCATTGCCAGTAAAGGATTTTTCTCCGTGTGCAGATAATGCGAGTGCGGGGCAAGAAAACGGCACAGATTGTGTTTCCCCTCCCATGAAAAGCCATGAAAAGGCGGCCAAAGGCGGCGGGGGGAGGCACACAATGCATTGCTGGGCATTGCATAAAGTTTACGACATGACGACAACCAGGACATGGCGGTCTGCGGTCTCCGGCTTCCGGCTGCCGGCTCTCTACCCTTCCTCCCAGCGGAATCACGTCACTCCGGAATCGATTTATAAAAGCCCCGCAATTCCGGCGGCCGAAGGAAGTGCGGATAATGTGCCGCTGGCCGAGGACGAAGACCCCGGCGAATCCCCAGCGGCTAATGAGCCCAAAATGCACAGCATCCAGAGCTCAGCAAAATGTAAATGTCCGTCATGTGAGCAGCGGAAGTTTCACTTCCATTAGCGCCAGCCTCCCAAAACGGCATTTATTATGCAACACGGCCACTTAACCTAAACCAACCAGGCACCAACTGAAAAAAAGGATATCATAAATTATAACGCTGCACTAATGGCATACTGGCGAATTAAAATGCATTCGGGGGGCTGAAATTTAGCCAGCATTTAGGCAAATTAGTTTGCGTTTCAGTTGCGACTGCGGTTGCTTTGCGGGGATTTCCCCGAGGCTCAGTTTTGATTACCACCAGCGATACTGTTGGCCGGGCCAACTTCTGATTAGTGAGCATATCGTGTGTCATTTCCCCTTTGGCCGGAGCCTCGTCCTTTTCCTCCTTCCTCCTTCCTCCTTCCGATTTGCACAGCTCACAGTTCGTTGACTGTCACTGGTCATCAAGCCACATACATTCCCATTGCCAGCCACATCCACTCTGTTCCATTCATTTCCATGCATTCATTTATAACTTTTCTCTAGCTCCTACACTCCTGCACTTGGAGAAAATAATGGGACTACCATAAGAATAGGGATGGTGATTCCTTTGGTCGGTTAATAATAGTCAATATAGATATGGTAATAATATAACCAGCAAGCAACCTTACAAATGATTTATAGGTTATTTAGCTTTGGAACATTTTCTGGCTGTGTATTCCTCTTTCGAGAACTGTCATCAAGATTATTGCGTATGCAAACAGAGCAAACAGAGTCCGGTGACAATCATCACCAGGAGGAACAAACAGAAAAACAGAGCAACCGCAAAATACCGAAAGTCGTTGCATAGATCCTTATATCTCTATATGCGCAGTTGAGGGTGCCATTAAATGCAATTACAGGCACGCCAGCGCCACGCCCACAATGGCATTAATGGGTGGATGAGTGCCATGTCCCCCGACCCTCCGTTACATTACTACTCGTATGAGACGGGCAAACAATACTCACTTGCAGGGGCGGTGCGTGTCCCGCACTTCCGGTTCCTGTTCCTGTTCCTCCTCCCATTGCAATGTCCCCGTTGGCGGTGCCCCTGGCCACGCCCCCTTCCTCGTGGGCGGCCGCCGCTGCCACCTGTTGCGCCGCCGACTTGGCATCAACTGCAAGTGCATACGAGTAGATAAATTACATTTCAGTTACAACAAATAGAATATGGTAACCCAATCAGATGCACTTAAATTTTTATTTATTTTTAATTCTAACAAGATCATCCGCCAAAGTGAACTTTGGTGTTTATTTTTCACCTAATAGCCGCGAAGTAATATTTTCTATTTTAAAGTGCACAAAGTAAAAATATAAACACTTTGGTCGGCAACGCTTCCTGCCAAACCAATTAGGTTATGGACGCGCCGTGCTTTTAAAATGCAGTTTCGCCCTAATGGAATATAATAAAAATATGTATAAATCAAATTACATAAGCTGGGAGAGCGGGAAGCGGCTGAGGAGGATGCAGCTGGCGGGCTGGGATCCAGGGACGCAGACTGGGATCCCGGGAACGGGTGGCCAAAGTCATTTGCATTTATAAATTGGCTTTTTGCAATTCATGAGCTAAATGTCATCCGGCCAATGCCAGAAGGATGTGGCCCTAAAGGAGCGGAGGAGTGGCGGGCAAAACGGCGACAAATGTCGGGCCCCCGGGCAAATTGTGCAGCTGTGCATGCAAATGGCTCCTGCAGGACCTCAAAGCTCGCAAACAGGAAGTGTAAGTGGAAGTGGTCAGGCGGCAAATTTATAAACAACATTTTCGTTGCGAAACTTTCAAAGCGAGCAGCTCGAATACTCTTTGAAAAGTTCTCCTGATTGCAAGGATTCACTATTTTACGACTTTGCCGTTTCTTGGAAATATTTGAACAAGTATTAAATTATTAAGTGTCATATATAGAACAACAACTTAAATCCCCAATTAAAGTTACAAGATTCCTTTTAAAATATGCCATGAGATATAAAGCGGGCATGTTGCAAGTAAAAGCAAAACGGCTTGTAAAATAGCTCAGTTACGCTGCTGTGAATATCGAGCACTCAAGTCCCAAGTGCGTCCCATTTGCCAGCATTTGCCCAACATCGTGTTCATTAAGAGCCACCTCCCACCTCCCGCGTTCCCGCTCATCGAATTTGATATTCCCAGCCCGCCTTCCTGGCTGCTGAACTTTCTGCTTTCTGCAGAAAACCCCGAGCAGCTGCTGCGTGTGCGGAGCTCATTTGCATTTTTCATAGACCGAAGGGGGCGGGCAGGCGAAACATATGTGTGCCTGGCTGAAAACAGCGGCAAAAGCCCGGAACAAGCCAGGCATAATTCGGGCCACATTACGCATACGCCATGTGGCCATGTGGCTCAGTCGGAGGGGGAAATCGATTGGGGCAGGGAAACGCACCTGAGTTGGCCGTCGTCAGTTTGCTGCCGGCCGCCGGAGTGCCCACCTGCGAGGGCTTCTTGTGGTGGTGATGGTGGTGGTGGTGGTGGTGCTTCTTCTTGTTCTTGATGATGATCTTGCGACGCAGCATCGCCGGCGGAGGCAAGTCCATGTTCGGCTCCAGAGGGTGCGAGTCCAGCGGCTTGTCGAGCAGCATATCGCCGAAAATTTCGCGGCAATAGTTGGCAATTTTCGCCTATTTCAGGGGGAGAAGAGGGGAAAATAAATGAGCTGGCATCAAGTGGCGCCGAGTGACTTGTAAACTATCTGCTAACGGCCTTTTGATGGGTTAACGTTGCCCGGAGGTGAAGTTTCCTGCTACAGAGAGAGAAAGTGCGCCATTACGGGAAATAAATGCATGCAACCTTGGCAGCACATGCTCTTTATAGACTCCAAAATGATTTATTTATCCCCTGCCTTAACCCAGTGAATTCTATAAGTGTACCTGTCCAGAAATCATATGTTGAGGCTTTTGCTGTTGCAAGTTTGTTTTGCGGCACGTGGCATGTTTGCTTCTTAGTCTCGCTACCTGCCTGCGTTCCCAGTGGGAAATTTAGTTTATATTACTACTTTTAATGGTTAAACTTTGGCCTCTCGTCGACGGCTCCTCAGCTACACAGCTCCTCCTCGACCTCCTTCACCTTTCGGGCCGTAAAAACTTTGCCTTTGTTATTATCCTGCTCGAGGAGCTTAAGCAGCCGGCAATTACCGTTCGAGTGGCTTCTGAGATTCGCCACGCTCCGGGACTCCTGACTCCCTTCGAGGTCCTTAAGTAATGTTTTCGGACCGCAGCACAGGAGAACACACTCCCCGTGTGTGTTTTTTGTTTTCCCTTCGCCGAGTGATGGATTAGGGTGATGAGCAAAGGACCCAACTGTTGTTTTAGGACAAGCAACTTTTCGGCCTTCCCAGTTCTGCAATTCAGCGCCAGGCCGCATTTAATGCCTTTCTTTTTGCCGCTGTCATTTTTCTGTTATTTGCCTTTATGGCTCATCCCTTTCCTTGCTCGGTGAAAAGTTTTCCAAAGACATTTTCCCCCTGCCCTGAGTTTTACCCCTGGTGGAATGGCGATTGCAGAGCCTGTCTGTTGTTTATGGCAGTAACTCTCTATGATAAACCTTTGAGTTTAAATGGCACACCCAAGAAATGCATTGCCAGCTCATCCATTTGCCTTTCAGTTTAGTCTGCCTTTCTGCCTGCGGAATCCCACTTGATCTCCTGGACTCCAGGATGAAATACTAGCTTGAGAGCTGGAAAATTACCCTGACTGCCAATCTAAAGTAAATCCGGCCGAGTAAGCCGCTTTCAGCTGCCATTTGCACTCCGATAATCCTCACCTGTTGCCTCGGATTGCAGTGGTTCTCGAAGCTCAGTATCACAGGGTATTCGGATGTTTTAAATGCACTCTCTGCGATGGCCTCCAGGACGTCCTTGGCGAAGATCTCCGGCACGAACGTGTAGCCGTGGACGATGACCGGCTCCTCGGTGCGTCCGTTCCAAAAGTCCAGCTCGACGCATCTGCAGCAAAGCCAGAAACAGACTCAAGTTGAAAGCGGTAAAAGAAAATGACAATTTCCTCGTTTCCAGTTCTATTTTCCTCTTCGTTTTCCCTCCCCATTTCCCATTTCCCACTTCCCATTTGGCATTCTGATGTGTAATCGCACGCAAAGTGCCGAATGCATTCTGACAGTCCTGCGAGCGGAGAATAAACGCAAGCAGCAACTTCTGCGTCAATAAATTTTGTGATGTGTGCATCGTCGACGGAATAATCGCTGTCACTAAAGGAGAATTGAGGGCACACGCTGAAAAAAAAATCCTGCAAAACAAACGCAGCCATTTAGCCATTTAGCCGGCCACCAATCGGCCAACTGACCAATTGGCCAAGAGATAATTCGAAAATTATGCAGCCCACATTTTTCGATGGCCATGTGTTGTACGAAAGGGCGTACATTAAACTTTAACGACCGACTCTAAACTTTTATGCTGTACGAAAGCGATTCGATAAGGGCTTTGCCGTATAATAAAACTGTCAATCTAGAAAAAAGGATAAATCGGTTATTGCAAAACAACTATAACGATTAAGGACACTGCCAGAAAGTTTTGTTTTAGGGGAAGAGAAGAATTCGTCTTGTGCTCATTGGCCTGAAATTGAACTGAAGCGAGGTGACCTAATTAGAAAATTCTTGGGATTCCTCTTGATTAATCAGGATTATGTAAGCATTGGCAAAACAATGTTTTCTTTGCAGTGCAGGAAGACTGCACCTGATGCAAACACTCTCCTTGTTTTAAGTGAATGCGAGAGAGAGTTGCTTTTTTACGTGTGCGTTTCTCGGCTGAAGGCCACCACATTCGCACACACATACGCACACACATACACACACGCATGTTCGGGACAAAGGTCATGGCCAGGATTCGAGCGAAGGCAGCTGACCACATCATTTGCGTCACTTGCGACTCCATCTGAGTCCGCATCCCGATCCGGATCAGTCGGTCAGAGCGCCCCACTCACACTCACCTGCATCCCGCCAGGAGGCACTGCCTGTAGATCTCGACGGAGGACTTGCCCGTCAGCTGGTGGCCCGTCAAGTAGGTGTTGTGCGAGGAGTTGATGAAGTAGTGCGACATCGGCTGGTCCATGTCGTCGCAGAGATCGAGCTTGTTGGGCGCCATGATGGGGTTGTCGTCGCCCATTAGGTACCTGAGGATGACAGCAGGAGAGGATTTCCGGGGGATTAGTGGCGAACTCAGACGGGTAATGGGTTCCCAGAGGCGTTGGCTAAGCCTTTGCGTGTTGCAAATCTGCTGCAAGAATCCCAAGTCTTTTTCTACGAAAAAGCTTTCCCGAGTATGCAAACACAAATAACTATATGCACTTGGAAAAACCCCACTAACATATCTCATTAAAATTAGATACATGAGGCATGCATTTTCGTTACTTTTTATGAGTTCTTATGAAATATATTTTTCACTTCTTTATAAGGAATATAATTCATTACTTCTGCACTCGTAAGAGATGATATTAATTCTTTCTGAGTGTAGGTTTCGCGTTGGCAGTTGAAGGGTTTGAGCATCTCTGCAGTTCTTCAGCCGAAGGTCGCGTCAGTTTTGGCGTCGTCCTGCGTCCTTCGCCGCCTGGGTTCCTCAGCTGCTCAGCTGCTGTTACAGTAAACTGCGGGTTTTCACGACTGCTAAACCACTCTGGGCGGACTGCTGTCCCTTCCCCGTTTTCCCGTTTAGAGAGCAAACAGCGCAACGTCGTTTGCATATGCATGTGCACTCGAGAGGGCCTTCAAGTGACTCTAACAGCCCCGAAAGCAGGCAGCTGCCTCTGATAAACTGTCACGCCCAGAAGGGCTCCCCAAAGTGAGTGGGTGAGTGAGTGAGTGGGTCGCCCCATATGCCCCATGTGCTGCTCCTCGCACTCCGAAAGCCCCGGGAGCAACAAGTCAGCGACTCACCTCAAAAAGCCATCCAGGCTGAGCTGGCCCTTTTGCGCGTTGAACTTGTTGGGCTCGTACTGCTGGATGAGCTCCTTGGCGCGGGCGGGGTTCGCGTACGGGTAGAGGATCTCGTTCAGGCGGGGATCGCGCTGCGTCTTGTTGAGGAACTCCACCAGCTGGGCGATGGACATGCACTTCCGCTTCGAGTTGCCCACTCTGCGAGAGAGGCGGTGAACTGAATAGAGCTCCTTACGCCTGATTAATGCCCCACTTACATGCTGTCGAAGAGCCGCTCCACCTCCGAGCGCTGCGTGAGATATTTGTACAAATTGTAGAAGTCCTCGAATTGAAATTTCGACACCGATATGCTATCGACCTTCCCCGACGGCAGGCCGGTCACGTCCAGCGCCTTCTCGACACGTTTGCGATCCTCCTTGTTCTGGGCGAAAAGTTTTATGATGCTGAAGTGGTCACGAAAGGAATTCGGCCAGGGGAGAACGAGCCGAGGATGGGGGACAATGCGGTGCGTTTGTTGTAGTTGTAGTTGTTGATGAGGTTGTCGTCATCATCATCGTCGTGGTCGCCAGTGATGCATGAGCCACGTTCCAGCAGGACCAACAGGAGCAGCAGAAGCACGAGCAGGAAAAAAGGGAAATTGCGAAACAGAAATTGGCGTAAATTTCAATTTTCAGCTCAGCTTCGGTGGTCGTGGTGGCTACACTTAACAAATATTTGTCAAATGCTTCAACGCACAATGCACAAAAGCCAGGGACCCGGACCCAAACTCGAAACCCGAAACTTGGCCGGGACCCAGGACTCCGGACATTGAGCGTTGGGTGGGATTGAGACGGGGATTGGGAGAGGGATTGGGATTGGGAGTGGTTGTCAATTACTTTTTCACTGGTATGCGACCGCTCTTGTCCACCTGCAGACAGAGCTTGGTGTGGGCCTTCTGCAGGAACATAATCGCCGAGCCATTGAGCTGGGCCAGGCTGTAGGCCAACTTGATGAGTCCGTCCGACCAGAGCTGCAAAAGCAGAAAGGGAATGCGAAATGTGAGCGGAGGGGGATTCAATTGAAGTGGCGAGCCGGGGAGCACACGAATATTTGCCTAAAGGCAGCCCCCTCTCCGCAGCTTTGTTGGAAGGTTCTATGTTCTCTGCTTTGTTCAAAACTGAAACGGATTTATTTTGCGGCCAGAAGTGTAATTCTAATGGCCAGCTACACTAAATAACTAAATTGCTAAAAAAGCGAAGCAGAAACTTCAATTACCACATAACCGGATTAGGGTAATCACGAAATTAAATTAAGCAGACTGCAAATTGGATGCAAAAACTGTTAGTTTTCCCGTAATTACTCGTTAACCCAGTTTTAAGCTGACATAACAGCCAATACTAATATTCAATTAATTCGTAATTACTTAGGACTCCTCGGCCTCCGTGGCGTATGAGTAATTACTAATTTGAAGCTCCTACTAAACACCCTCAAGAACTATTGCATGTGGAGCGTTGATTCAGATTGAAACAAACCGAAAGGCAAGCGCTTTCTAAGAAAAACCCTGCCAATGTTTGCTTAGAGCCAGCCTTCCCGAATCTAATTAACCCGAAATGTGCTGTAACAGACTGGCAACGGGCGATTGGCTCATGTAAGAGGAATTTCGTAGATGTTCGCTCGACGGCAACACGGGGCGGATGCGTGATGCAGCCCCAGATTGATTCTGTGGTCAGTGAGACAGAAAGGCGTGCAGTCCGTTGCCCGTTGCCCATTTGGCGTCCAGCTCGCTCCCTTCCAGGCCACAACTATCGCCCATTCATTGTATATTTATGGCCAATATTGTTTATTTTCTTCTGCGAAATTCCTCTTGAAAAGTTTATGAAAATTTCGGCATTTTCATAATTCGATTTGCCTTTGTTGCCGTTGCCGTTGCTGCGGTTCGAGTTGCGTTTGTTTATTTCGGGAATGTCCGCGACGCGTGCCAAAAATAATAACCACAACAGCACGGGCTCGGGCTGCTGACCATTGATAAAATAGAACATTGATTTTGGGCAAGGTCAATCCAGGACAGAGACAGTGGCAGACATGAGCAATGGCCGATGGACATTGGCCGATGGACATGGGACAGTGGACAGTGGACACGCCCTCGGACGGAAATCAATAAAAGCGCCGTTGAGTGGTCCATAATAATTTTTTACGCGCCTTCGGTGGCCCACTAAAAATAGCCGAAAAACAGAAAGCGACGTGGCACAGGTGTGTCCCCATCAAAAGGTGGCAGTGTAGCATACACAAACAGAAAAATAAAATGACAAATAAGAACTATAAGCTCGAAATAATTAAAGAAAGCACTGAAGAAGTTGCACAAGTAACTTAGAAACTCATAAATACTCAAGAAAACACTACACAGATCTAATATTTTGTTGGTTATGAGAAATCCCCCTTGGATTCTATTGTTATTTCTTTAAGTGCACGGTAGCTGACCATTATGTCCATCATTAGCGTCGCACACTCGACTCGACCCAATTCCCCGAATGACTCGCAACTGGGCGTGTGTGCATGTGACCCACAAACGTTGGATGGCGCATGGCGGATGGCAATGGCCAATGGCTCTCCCCTTCGATACTTTTCAGTTGTCAGCGAGTTGTCGCAAGTGTCCGCCGCAAGTGGCCAATAATGTGCTGGCCTAGCCAGTGGGACTCACCTGGGCAATGTCCCGCCGAGTGCAGCAGAAGTTCACGAAGGTCATGTTGACGAAATCCGAGCCGTGGCACACGGTCACCGTCTTCTCCTCGAGCGTGTCCTGCGGGCCCAGAGTCACAATCTGGCGCAGCTTGTTGTCCTGCAATCCGGGAGAGAGAGAGATGGGCATGCCCGTTATTAATTACCGACTGGCCAAAGGGATTCGAGGGGTTCGGAGGGGGGATGGGGGTGCGCAAAATGAAGTTTTATGGCCCGGCAGTCGTAAATGGAAGTCATATCCTTGCGCGCTAATCCTGCGAGTGCAGCGAAATTCATTTGCCCGCCTCGTAAAGCTGACAAACAAACACGATTCCCGAGCTGACCAGGGTGCCATATTTCAATTAAACGGCACAAATGGATTTACGAGCCCCGGAGAACGTGCATCCTTGGCCGAAGGAGCCGGACCCGCCCAACCAGCCAACTACCCACGAATGAACCGAAAGAAAGCTGAACTCAGCTGAAAACATTTCTGGGTTAAATGCAAATCAGCCCGCGACACAAGCAAACAAATAAGAAAGAGTGGCGTTCGCATTCGTACTTTCCGCACAAATGAATGGGTCTTAGAGGTCTTAGAGCTTTGTTGCTGTTGCACAAGTTACGAATATAAATAAAATACTTTAAATGGCAGCAGACTGCGTTCTCTTCCGAGGAATTCACAGACATCTGCAGACAGCTCATAAAGATTCACGGTAATGAAGTGCTTTAAAGCGAAGGACATTTTCCCCTGAATTGGTGTTCCATTGTTCCTTCATTGTTCTGGAAATACATTTTCTAATTCTTCACTGGCTTTCTAATTAAACAAGCAAAATATGGTTTACTTTTGATGCTTTTACTTTAATTTCCAAGTCATCCTACTGCCGTTTTACTCTACAGTTTGGCTCTTTTAGCCCCTCAGAAATGGGCTAAAAACTCATTCATCCGCCAACCCAGCTGTCCTTCGGAGAGGGGGCTCAGTTCGGGATTATCATCGTCCTTTCGAATGCATGACACATAGTTGGGACACAGAACAGAGGACAGAGGACACAGGACGCAGGACGCAGGACACAGGACATCGGGCAGTTGACTGCAATAAGGGCGGACAGTTGGCTTGGGGGGCGGAGGACTCGGAGCGGAAGCCAGAGCATGAATTCGGCATTAACTTTGTGGCCAGCCTGTCTTGGGGGAATGTGTGCCGCCTGTCTTCCCGCAGCGCTTCCGGCGCTCCGACATTTGACAAACTGCCGGCTGCCCAGGCCACACTGGGCCAGGGTGGACCTTATCGGCGGGCGGTTTAGAGCGGACCGAAGCCTCGCAGCCCGGCAATGTTATCTTTTGTGCTCGCACATCGAATGCACAAGCTGGGGAATAAAATTCTGGCAGATGACTTCAATGCTCTTAAATGTCTGAGCCCTGATCCGAGTTGAAAGCGCCTTTCGGTCGAGTTCGGTGACAAACACTAAAAAAACAAGGCTTGAACAGTTTAAGGTTTTCTTATTTAATTGGGAAAATAAGTTGATAATCCCAGTTTAGTTTTAACCACCATTATATTCTACCACATGATGTAAAGTATGAATACAAAGTTCTGAAGGTGCGATTCCTATTAAGAAGTTATTACAATAATTAACCATCCCCACATATTTGCGCTCAGTGCATGCAAATCGATCCCTTAATAAGCTTTGCTGGTCAGCAATTTTCAGGGCTCATGGACGGATGATGGGAGCAGCTGAGTCGCCTAATTGAAAGCTTCCCGGCTCTCGCCACCTGGATTCCCGAGCACTGGGGGCCATTAGGGCCTCCTTCCGCTTGGCGGTGATAAACGAGGACTCACCTATGCTGGAAAAGCGGTGGGAAATGGGGGAGGGGGAGGACGAAACACCCGCGTGGCTGCAGGCAGCGTTTATCTGCGAGCGCCATGATTTGCTTTTAACTAAAAACTAATTCCGGCAAATTTGTCCCGCTGAATAATGTAAATGGCTGTCACGGGCGGCTTCTCCTGTTGCTGTTGCTGCTGTTGTTGCTCGCTCTCCGGGTTCCTGCCACACGGGTGGGTATCCGTCCGGATTTTCGGCACGGCACGGCATGGCACCGTGCCCGGGCGAAGCGTAAAGCGGAAATGACTACGGCGATTATCTTAATTGCTTCTCACGCTTCGCGCTCGACACTCACGCGCAGTGCCCCGCCCACTCGCCTCCCACCCGCCCCCTCGAATCCTACGGCTCCTTTTCGGCTGCTAATCCTTTGGCTCAGCTCGAAATTTGAATTTTAAGAACGCTCATTATGGGCCACGGGTTGGCCGCGATAATTTTAGCCAGCCCCCAGTTCAACCCGGCGAAGAGAGAGTCATTATTGATTTTAAAGGTGCCAATAAAATAATGCTCAGCGCAGGATGGCACTTATTGGGAAACCAATGATGGATTGAATTCCTGGGTGGAAGAAATCAAGCTCTCGAAAGGTGGACGTATAGCATTGGGATTGACTTTTGTGTCAAAAGTTTATTAACAAGCAGATTCATTTTAGACACAGAAGCCAAACAAAAAACATACACTTGCTCGTTGAGCATAAAAGTTTTATATAAAAGTTTACTACCTTTTTGACCAATTCTTAACCAATTTCGAAGTACCCATTAGTAGCTTTTAATTGAATAAAACTAAAGAGCTGTTCCGAAGAGAAGATCTAGATATCAACTGTCAACCTGTCATGTCAGTCTTTTGTTCAGAACTAGACTCCAGTTAGTAAGCACCAGATGCGAGGTATCTTTTTATAGTTTTGCAAAATTTTAAATTATATAAAACGAAAAACAACTTTTTGAAAATCAAAATTTGTAAATCAGTGGCAAGAGGAGAAGAAAATGCAGGACGAGCGACCGAATTCCTTCAACACCAGGCGCGACTCGGCCCAAACGGGAGGTCATTGCGACCCCTTCGGAACCCAGAACTCCGATTTCATGCCCAGGACCTACGAGGTGATGCGTCAGCGGAACTGCAAGACGGAGAAGTTCATTCCGTTCGAGCGGTACTCCAGCATCCGACCGCCTGTCTCCAAGTGCAGTTACGATGAGACCAAGAACTTGCTGCTGGAATCGGTGGACGAGGCCGGCTGTTTCGAGGCCAGGTCCAAAGATCAGGATGCCCTGAATGTCTGGAAGTTGAGTCCGTACAAGCAGTCGCTCAGTTACTACGGGGTGGCCGATGGACTGTCCCAACCGGAGGCTGTCAAGTTCAACAGAACTTTAACCAGCAGTTTGAAACACGCCTCTGGCTCGAGGAAGCGAGGGGGCAGGCAGCCAAAGGTTCCTCCAACTCCCCAGAGACCACCACAGCCCGCTCCGGTGTGCCAGCCCTACATCCTCAATCGCCAGACCCTGGGAGCGGAGCTGCAAGCGATGCCCGTCGTCCGGCAGAAACTCGATCCCAAGACGGCCTTAGAAATGGTTTACTGCGAGAAGCCGCCGAACCCCGAGGATCCCTTGGGCGTGGATGAGGTCTCCCCAAAAGGGTGAGCCTGAAGGAAGCCCTGGATATGCTGAAAGCGGAGAAGCCCCCAAGGCACGGCCTGCGCAGGAAGCACTGGTACTGCCCCCCGAAGTGCGGCGAGCAGGAGAACAGGTGCACCGACTTCGAGTGGGCCAAGTACAAGTTGGACCCGCGACCCTACGACGAAGCCTTCCACAAGTGGTTCCTCGAGCAGAACGTTCCGCCCGGGAGGGAGCCACACGACTACGACGAGCTCTACAAACGGTTCCAAGGCTGCTTCGAGATTAAGCCAGAGCCAGATCCTGACTGTGTGGCCCTGGCAAAGTGCTGCCCGGAATCCGTCAAGAAGAAGAAGGAGGAAGGTTTCGGAGGTGCAGGAGGTGAGGGCGGTGGAATAGGAGGAGTACCTGGAAAAGCAACGGGGGGAGCACCGGGAGGAGCAAAGGGAGGAGCACCGGGAGGAGCACCGGGAGGAGCAAAGGGGGGAGCAACAGGTGGAAAGTCAGATGAAGATGATGTAGCTGGGGTCGGCGAAGGGGTAGAAGGAAAAGAAGAGAAAGGAATTGCAGGAGTAATAGGACATCGTCCAGGTGGAAAGCAAGGCGAAAAGCCGGAAGGAAAAAAGAAGGCGGGCCTAAAGGTCCTGGTAGCAAAGAAAAGGAAAAGGCCAAAGAACAGCCGAGTGGTGGAGGCGATAAAGAAGAACCGGAGGAGGAAAAGGGTAAAGGCAAGAAAAAGGAGAAAGAACCGAAGAAAGGAAAGGACAAAGACAAAGGCAAAGGCGAGGGAGAGGGAGACAAGGAAAAGGAATCTGGCAAGAAGAAGAAGGAACTCTCCGATGAGGAAGAGGAACCGAAGCGCAAGCCTCCTCCCAAAAAGCTCAAGCCGCCCCCGGAGCCATCGTCGGAGGGCACCGAACCTTCCACGCGGAACTTCTCCGATCTCTTCGCGCCAGAAGAGTTGGGGATCAAGGAGGAGGAGCTGGAGAGGCCAAAGCCAGTGCCTCGGCCACCGGGGGAAGTCGTGGGTCCGCCGAAAAAGAAGCCGCCCCCTAAGAAGCCCGCCAAGGGAAAGAAGGATAAGAAAGGCAAGAAAGACCAGGAGCAGGGAAAGGGGAAGGGAAAGGGGAAGGGAAAAGGGAAGGGGGAAGAGGAGGAGGAGGAGGCGGAGGTGGATCGGTGTCCTCCGTGTCCCCCGGTTGGGTGCGAGTGCTGCATCTGCGACTGCCTCTACGCCAAGAAGCTGCCCATCTCGCCGGCGATGCAGGCGGTCTTCGCCGAGGAGAAGGTGCGCGGGATGCGGGAGTACCTGCGCCAGATGCGCCACAGGGAGTACATGGAGTGCGCCGGCCAGAAGCCCCCGTGCGCCCAGCACAAGGTGGACCCCATCGAGGTCGACGACTGCTTCTGCCGCGACCCCAAGATCGCCGAGTACTGCGACTGCCTCGGCGCCCTGCAGCACCTCCAGAAGCTCCTGGGCAAGAAGCGCCACCCGATCGTCAACAACGAGCTGCTCTTCAACCTCGAGGATCTCCGCCAGCGGATCGCCCGCCGGATGTGCGAGGGCCTCTGCTAAGTCTGTTCTCGTTTTTTTTTTTTCGACTGGTTTCGTGCATTCCATTGTCGTCAGTGTGTTTCCAAAATTTGACTTTGAACAATAAACGATTTGTGGGCAGGAAGCTGTGGTTTCACAATGCGGGAGTTGGGCTCTCAGACTTCTTTTTCGGGAAATAAACCAATAGGTTCGCACTTCAGGAAAAAAGATTTGATTCTTCAGAAAGGCGGCCTTGGAAATTGCTTAGTCTTACAGTGCTAATGTCTAGCAGAAGCATCCCCCAGTATTCTATCATGTGTTCAACAGATAACACCTAAATTTCAAAATAAGCCTGTTTTACTTTGGTTCTTCTATTGAACTAGATCACGAAAAACACGAAAAAAGCATTGGACCCGAATCGGAAATTCGACTGTAAAAAGAACATAACATTGAAGCGATGAAGCGCCTACAGGATGCGAAGAGTCAAGGATCGCGGAAATCCCTGGGAAGCCAGAGTTCGCTGGCGGAGTCCGAGTGCCAGGAGCCCGACCCGCTGAACACCTTCGCGGAGGAGCCGCTGAGCATGTACCAGTGGATGCGGTGGAAGAACTGCAAGACCCAGAAGGTGCACCTGCAGGAGACCTACCCCATCATCCGACCGCCGGTCTCCAAGTGCTACGAGAAGGAGACCCTGGCCTTCGTGGACGACGCGATGGAAGCCAACCAGTGCAAGCGGCTCTCTGACCTCGGCAAGCCGGACGTGGTGACCGTGTGGAACTCCACTCCGCGCAAGGACACCCTGGGATGGTACGGCATCGACGCCAGTTACCCCACTCCGGAGGCGGCTTCCTACGACCGAGCCTTGCAGAAGAGCCTCGAGGCCTCCAGTCTGCTGCCCAAGCCTCCGAAGAAGTCGTACATCAAGCCCGAGTGGGTGCTGAAGGACAAGAAGAAACCGGAGCCCGGTGCCTACGTCCTGAACCGGCCCTGCCTGAAGGGCAAGCTGGACAGGATGCCCAACGTGCGGCGGCAGCTGCGACCAATCAACGCCCTGTCGTGGCTCCACTGCCCCGATCCGCCGGACCCAGAGCACCCCTTCGAGAACGACGCCGGCCACCCGGAGATCAGCATGGAGCAGGCCATGGACATGGCCAAGCCGGTGAAGCCGCCGAAGCACGGCCTGCGCAGAAAGCACTGGTACTGCCCCCCGAAGTGCGGCGAGGAGGAGAACAGGTGCACCGACTTTGCGTGGGCCCTGTACAAGCTGGACCCTCGTCCCTACGACGAGGCCTTCGAGCGGGAGTTGGCCGGGCTCCAGGCGGCCAAGGACCCGGAGCCCAGCAACTACGACGAGCTGTACAAGTCCCTGATCACCTGCTTTGAGCGCGACCCCAACGGACCCATCGACCTCTGCGAGGCGCTCAACAAGTGCTGCAAGCATCCCGGGGAGCCACCCAGCCAGGGATGCGGCGAGTTCGTGCCGGACGGCCCCGGCGGAGGTGGTAAGTTGCAAGGGGACGGGGACGAGGACCGGGGCAAGGAGACGGGGAAAGATAGGGATAGGGAGCGCAGGGAGAGTAGGAGCGGTAAGCTTGGTGCAGGCGGTGGTGGTGATCGCGGAGGCGATGGCGGTGACGGTGGCGGTGGCGATGGCGATGGCAATGGAGAAGGTCATCGGCGCGATAAGAAGAAGAAGAAGGACAGAGACACGATCAAGGGCGTTGGCGAACCCGTCGAAGGCGTCAGGAATACAACGGAAGAGGACAAAGACAGAAACAAAGTCGAAAAGGAAAAGGAAATGGAAATAGAAAAGGAGAAGGACAAGGGCAAAGAGAAAGACGAGATGAGAGCCCCCGAGGAGGAGGAAAAGCCCTCCGTTCCGCGAAGCAAGGATTCTCTTACGGACGGCGGAAAACCACCCAAAGTTGATGAAGATCGCGACCTGGTCAAGGACCAGGAAAGGCTAAGCGGCAAAGAAGGCGATAAAGTCAAGGATAAAGACAAGAGCAAGGACGAAGGCAAGCCCAAGGACAGCAACAACAAACGCAAAAAAAAGAATAAGGTTCATAAGTCAAATGAGGATAAGGGCAAGCCGGCGGATGAGAAGCCATTGAAGGACTGTCCCTGCAGGATCTGCTGCCCACCGAAGGAGGAGGACTCGCCCCTGATCAAGGAGATGCGCCGGCGGGATCGGGTGCGCCAGATGCGCGACTGCCTGCACCAGATGCGCCACCGGCAGTACATGGAGTGCAGGGACCCCGAGTACCGCGCGCGCCCCCACAAGTGCAGCCCCATCGAGAGCAGCAGCCCCTTCTGCGGCAACCCCCGCACGCAGACCCACTTCGGAAGGGTCCAGGCGGTCCAGCAGCTGCAGTCGGCCCTGCAGCGCAGGTACCTGCGAGGCGACGAACAGATCTCCAGGGATCTGGACGGACTCCTCGCCCGACTCTGCAACCGCCTGACCTTCAGGAGCAGGGATCCCTGCTGATGATGCGTGATGCTTCCTCCGTGTTCTGTTCTTTTTCCATGAGTCCAAGTCTGCGTTCGAATCTTCTGCAAGGTGTTCGGTGTCCTTAAAGCTATCTCAGTGTGTTCCCTTAAATAAACCCGGCTTTTTGGCCGAACTGCACTCATTTAATTCCGACCGCCACTCAGAGGGGCGGGTCGAGGGAGTCCTGCTCTGAAAAGTATGCTATGCTCTTCGCGGCTTTCAGTTAATCACACATTCGCCCAGTGGCCTCTGCAAGTGTGTGTGTGTGTTGGGGCGTGGTCAGCGCCCATGCACTCTGCATTTAATTAATGCAAGATTCTCGCATTTTATGCACTGCAAAGGGTTTCTCTTTCACTTCGAGCGGGGCAGCAGTTTCTTTCATTCAATCCGATAGGAGAAGTAGTGAATAAAACCGCCCATTTCAAGTAGATTCTTAGTAAATGTAGTAGCTCATATGTACAAATGGGGGAATTTAAATCTAACCGCTTTACCTTAATATTTATTTACAGCATTTCCTAAGTATAATTTAAACTATTGAGACATTTAATGGCTGTCTGTAATCTTTGTTTCCTATGATATAATTGTTTAACAATTCGGCATTATTGTATTTAAGTTTTTTGTTCGGCAAGGAACTTATTAAGCACTGCTATTTTTCCTCAATACTGATTCATTTTGCAGAGTGCTGGCAACTTTCATTGTTCGAATTCCTCCTGTAGCGCCGAGACCGCCTTCATTTCGCAACTTTTCCGGCGCTGTTAGTTTGCCTCGGGCAAACTGAAAGGAAAACAAAACTCATTTGGCTTTGGCCTTGGGCCGTCGCGCTCCACAGCAACAACTGCAACTATTATTGAGCCGGTGGGTGTTGGGTGTTGGGTGTTGGGTGTTGGGTGGTGGGCGGCTTGGCGTGGCCGGGGGCGTGGCCTTAGGCCGAGCAGCATGATTTATACAGTGAACGAAACGCGGCACTCCTTAAGAACCGAAAGGAAACGACGCCCAAGGATTTCCACATCGCAATAATCGCCATAATGGCCGGGATACCAATGGAAAAAGACGGAGCCGCATTTATGGAACTTTAATTTGATAATGCGCCAGGGAGGGTTTAGGGTTTAGGGTTCAGAGTAAAGGGTTAGGGTTAGGGTTCCAAAATTAAGCGAAAGTTTAAACGCTTTTTCTGGTCCAAGAAGCTACGTTCAAACGCACACAAAAGCAGGAGTCGAACCATGTTGCCTTGTCATTGCCGAGATAAATGTATTAACTTCGCTCGCACAAGAAAAAAGAAGGGAAATTCGGAGAGATAGTCGCACACAATGAGGCGAGTCCCACTGCCATGAAAGGAAAATTGTGTAAAACCGGAAAAAGCGTGACGCAGACGAAGGCGAAAATTGCCAAGGAAACTGTTGCAACACACACACACACACAATCACAATGGGATACTGATTCCGATTCCGATTCCGAGTCGGGGACACAACGCACGTGACTTGGCTGGGAAATCCACACGGCGAATTACCTGAGCTCCCGTTCCTGGGATTCAGTTCACATACCAGTCGCAGTAATTGGCTTTCAATTGCTGCTCGGCGCCAGTGGATACATTTATTGGCCCGAAACCCACACGGAAGAGCCATTGCCTTGTTCCCAGAAATTCATGGCAATATTGTTCTTATGGAATTTGCCTATAAACAAACCATTTCGAGGGAATCGCACTCAACTAGTCAATTTTTGGGCTATTAGAAACGTCGATATAATTTGGAAGGGGAACTTTGTAGTTTTTACGAGAAGATAGCTCATAGAACACATGGACATTACCATAACATATATTCCTTTTTTATTTTTGGGTACTGCCATCAGTTTTTGTGAGTGTCGAGTGCATGCATCTCCACACGATGAAAAAGTTATTACATCCGCTGGCGGAACACACAGAAAACCTCACCTCATCACAAACACACAAAAACTGGATTCAGACCTGCGTGCGTGTTAAAACCAGACAAATATTTCTTCATTTCTTCCAATTCAATTTCAGAGGGATGCGGCTGCTGCGGCAAGTGCTGCTGCAGAAGGAAGAAGGCAGGTGAGTCCTGCGAGGACCGGCCCATTGAGAAACCCACTGATGAACTAGACAGCGAGGAGAGTCGTGACCTATCGAAAGTAGCATCCTGCAAGGGTTTGAATGAGGCAAAACCCAAAGAAGTAAGCGAGGAAGCGACAAAAGAATGAGCATTGAACATTGCGCATACGACACGGTGTTCCTTCGGCATCAAGTATACGCACCTTTGGCCGCTTGGCATACTGCCCCGTGCGAACGTCGCGAATGGTGGCTATGTCGAGGATGTCCAGCTCGTTGTTCTGGTCGACCCAGTAGAGGAAGAAGCCCTTGGCATCCACTCGCATCGTGACCGGCGTTCCAGTGCCAGAGTCCTGAAACCAGAGAGAGAACAGAAATTAATGAGAACCAAAAGTGAAACAGGCTTAGAGGAGGAAGAGGAAGTCCGGCCGTAATTGATAGCACATGTAATAATCAAAACACATTTTCCGCCGCCGATTCGGGTCCAATAAATTGCGAACACATGATACACACAGCCGCAGCTCCAGAGTTTATTGAACTGCCCCCTAATGAATTTATCCCGTCCAATTTCTCAGCTGAATTGGCCGCCTGAGTGCAGTCGTCTGTCGTGCCTTGTTTCTGCTTATTATTTAAGTCAAATTAAATGGGCTTCTGCCGGCAGCCATAAATATTTAATACCCCGGCCGACCGTCCATTCATAAGGAAAGGCTGGCGAAATGCGAAATGCGAAAGTCGCCCGCCCGCACAGCTGGCGATGGCGAACAGATGCGCATTCCGCGTAACCCCAGTCGAAATTAAAATGTTTTTATTTCTTAAATATGCATGCGAATAAGTGGCAGCCAAATCTGGCATCCAGCGAACAAGCTGTCTCGCAGAATTCGGTTCCTTCTTGGCGTTAAATGGCGCGGCCCAAATGGATGTTTCTTGCCAGGAGGGGAATGTGGGGTGATAGTCGATGGGTGTTGGGTGGTTGGTAGCGCTCCATCTGAACCGCAAAGTCAACGCTGACAACGTGCAACAAAGGCGCGCTGGATGTGTGTGCAACTAAGTGGGGAAATGGCGGTGGTCACGCCAGCTTTGCTCCAAGGAATGTGGCAACAATGTGATACGCGCCGGGGTGCAGCCATTAAGTTTTCAGGGAGCGATTCCATTAAAATATTCATTGACTTTCATATCAGCAACAAGTGCCATTACTTTCGGCTTTATGGGGGAAGATAAACGGAAAGTAGCTGCGTACCGTAAACCGAAATAAAGGAGTATCACATATGTATCGCATATCAGTTTGCAAAACTATACGATTCTCTCACGGAACAGATGAAAGATTCATCATGAGGCAGAAACATCTTTTAACTTTCAATCTAAAATCTCTCTGAGATTATTCACTCGCTCTCGGAACAAAAACCTTGTTGCCAACGCTCCCCTTCGATCCGATACTTTGAACTCGGTTGGGGGCTCTGAACCCCCAGCACCTTGCCGTTTGCTCATCGGATTCACTCGACCCCGGGGTCCCTCTCCAATTAGTGGGAGGCATTCCTTGACCCCGGCACACTCACCCATTAGGATTAGGGAATGCCCGTTGTTATGGCCAGAAATTGATGAGCTCTGAAATACTCGTTACGAGCATATTTAATTCGCGCAGCCACAAGTTCATTATCCCTTCGGTTCGGTTCGGTTTGGTGCGAGTTTTGGGCTTGGGTGTTGGCCTGGGTTTAATGAACCCACTAGGTGCCAAAGTGGCCTGCCCGGCGCACACTTTCCCTTTTTCGGAAGGGAAAGCAGGGGACGCGGCTCCTTAATAATTGAAATTGAAAACATCCACTCGGATTCGCCCCCACCACTTGTGATATTCAATTAGGCGCATATTTTCTGGGGATTTTCAGCTGGGTGGCTCCCTCGATTGGTGGTTTGGGTTTGGGTAAGTCGGGGCGGGGCAGGGCGGGAAGAAGGTTCGGCCCTCGCTAATTGGAATCCACAATCCCGCTCGAGTTGTCTTGCTTGCTTTCCTGTTTGTCTCATTACGGACAACTAATTGAGTTGAGCTCGGAGGGCGGCGAAAGAATCGTTAATTCGATTTCAATATGCAAAACCCGCTGGAAATCCAATAGCTGCAGAAATTGTGTGCGAATTTCAGTTTTCACTTCGTGACTGCTTCTGAAAGGCCGAGTGAAAAGTGACTGCCACTCGACACGCTCCTCAAATATTAACAGCCACCGCTTGCATGCGTGCCAGCAGTTCTCTTTCTGTATCTGTATCTGTATTTGTATCTCTATCTGTATCGGAATCTATAAATGTGCCTGGGCACATATATCTGTATCCGAGTGTGCGTTTAGGATAAGAGCGATTACATGCATAATTCAATTGGTGTAACAGTTGGATCTGCTCCCTGCATGTCGCTCAGTCGCTCGACAGTGGAAAACGCTTAAGGGAGACCGCACAGCGAGAGCGGAAAAAGGGATAACTGCCACCCAGCCACCCAGCCACCCATCCAGCCATCCAGCCAGCCAGATGTGCCTGGGATGAGTGCACTGGGGGAAAATGCGGGAGCCTAGCAGTTCAGGTTACTAATGATGCCTCACTCTGAGGTTGAAGCACACTGATGTTGTTGAGCCCTTTTAAGCTGTATGCAGATATGTTTGCTCTTCTATTGTCATAAGTCAGCACCCGTTTCTTTCAGTGAGTGTCTAGCAAGGGTACACATCTGCTGGTGACGATTGTCACACGCCATTCTCCATTCGGCTGTCAATCATGCTTAGGGAACCGAGTTCTGAAAGGACTGCCAGGCGTGCAAAGTGTCTGGAGGAGTGTCCTAGTGCATTAGGGAGCTCCAAGGGAGGGGCAGCAGGATGAGGGATTGGGATTGGGATTGGGATTGGGGCTGGGAAAGGGATATGCAAATGCTGCCGGGGAGCACTCAGCAGCCAGCTCGGTTCCCTTTGGATCCGCGTTGCCTTGGAACAAACTATCGAAGTGGGTTTAAACAGCTGTTGGATGGAACTACATGCAAATTATATCATAAAATATGTAGCTGCTCAGTCCCCGTGTTTACAACCTGTTTACCTCCCCCTCCCGATTCACCTGAGAAAGTTTTCCCGGACCCCGAGAACTTTGCTGCCACTGCTGTTGACGTTTCCCCAAGCCATCCATTGACGAGCAGTTTGGGGATGAGCTGGAGTCACCCTCGTCAGGATTCGTCAGCGAACACGCTACGGGAGGTCGATTCAGAGCTCAGAAATGAAGATTGACGAACAGCGAGGGAAAAATGGGAACCAGCGGGAGGCCTTTCACCTCCAGGGAACTCCTCCGATTGCATCGATGGGGATCGCTAACCAACCTTCAGAAGGCAGGCAAAATAATTCGTTTCGTGAACAGCTTTTTGGCCATAAAAACTTAGGCAGCGAAAAGTGTGTTCCGTTTCTAGACCAAAAGCTATAAAAACTATTTGACTGCACTTGTGCTTGGGTGCTGCACATCAAAAGAATTTGGCAAACGTTTGAACGACTTCCTGAACGGCCAAAAACATTCCACTCGAGCACAATCAGTTTGTGTAATCCGCTAATTGCGACATCCAAATCACAATCTACAAGTGTGCTGGAGTGGATCGAAGGCAATCAACTTCACTCGAAATTCGTTTCTCCATGATGATTACAATCAATTAGAGCATTGGAACCACAATTTTAAACTAGTAAAAATGCTGATCTTACTCAGCACTTACGAGTACTGTCATATATCAGCGGCTGATCGGCGATTGGCGATCGTAAATAGTAGTTCGATTTTGGGCAATCAGCCGTCGTCCAGTCCACTTATCGGGCAATAAAACACGCTTTTCGCTCTTCGCTGTTCGATTCGCATTCGGCGAGTTCCGTGATTAGATACGGAACCCGCGCTGTTTACTCCAATGCATTGCCGGGGCATTACGCAAAGATCTGCTTAAGGCATTCACTATTCTAGCATATAGTACACAATTCAGTTGAGCTGGTAGTAGGCGGCGATCACCTGGTGGATCCAGCCCACGTAGGGCGGCACCGAGGTGTACACCGTGGGCCGGTTGCCGTAGCCGCAGGGCATGTAGCTCCAGGAGCCGAGCCCCACCAGCTCCGCGGGTCCGGAGATGGGCCAGTAGATGAGCGGGGTGCCGCCGTCGCCGTAGCAGGTCTTCACCCGGGAGCACACCTGCTGCCTGGTGAGGGGCGCGTCCGCGGGGAGCAGCTCCTGGCAGGCGGTGCTGTTCAGCAGCGGGGCGAAGGCGTACTGCAGCTCCTTGGAGTACTCCTCGCCGTCGGCGTCGGTGAGGCCCCAGCCGTAGGCGGCGGCGGTCCGGTTGCTGTAGTCGTCGTTGATGTCCGGCAGGGCGATCTGCTGCACCCTCGCGCTGTACTCGAAGCTCTCGGACACGTGCAGCAGGGCGATGTTGTCGCTGCCGGCGGTGCCGTCGAAGGAGCGGTGCGTGGAGGCGAAGTCCACGTAGCGCACCTGGGCGCTGGTCACGTTCGACCGGTTGACGATCCCGGCGTACACGGGCGTGCCCACCGCGTCCCCGTTGAACTCGCGCAGCTCGTTCACGCAGTGGGCCGCCGTCAGGAGCCACCGCTTGCCGATGATGGAGGCGGCGCACTGGTGGGTGTAGGTGCTTCTCGTCAGGGAGAGGGACACCAGGTAGGGCACGTTGTCCACGCCCTGCACGTCGAAGCCGTCGATGATCCGCGGCTGGAACTCCACGGGTTCCCCTCCATCCACGGCCCTCGAAGTCAGGTGCTGGATGTGCGGAACGCTGGCCGCGGAGGCCAAGGCCAAGAGCGGCAGAAGGAGCAGTGGCGATAGCATTACTGATGCGGCTGAGAAACTCTGAAAGTCTAAACCGCCGGCCGAAAAGCAATCGGGTTTTTATACTCGAAGACTGGGAAAGCTTTGCTTATCGCAGAGAGAAAAAACCCTTTTGATTGCTGACCAAACAAAGAACTAGTTCGGGTAACTAACAGTTTTTTTATAAGAGAGAATTTCATGTTGAACATGCTTAATAAAATATGATTTTGGGATTACTTAGCAGACTGACCTTTGAAACCAAGAACACAATGTTGGGAATTCCGAAGATATTTCAAGAATCCTATTCACAACTGCGCAATCCAATATAGAATCCCCCACAGGAAGGAACCCTCGCAGTTGCATAAGCAGAAGCTGATTAAGTGTGGTATGCAATTTTAATCCAGACTAATGCCCGCCTGCTCCCGAGGCACTGGCTCCCATTACCGGAGTCGGGTGCTGTGGCATATAAAACATGCAATTACCCTCGAATGGGCAGGGGGAAACCGGAGTGGCTTGCACATCCGTGCGCACAACATCCGCCCTTTCCGGCCAAGTTGCCTCCGAGTTGCCACATGCAACATGCCACATGCCACATGCCCCCTGCCGTTTGCTTACGCAAACCTGCGGTGCGGTGCGGTCACTTCGGGGGCATGGAAGCCACTTTTAATTGGCTTTGTCCGTCGCGAGGGTTCCGAGTTCCCGTATTTTTAGCATCCTTTGAGCCCGCGACCTTGCCGCGTCGACACCTCAGTTGGCACATTACGCACGCCCACGTGGGTGGGGTGGATCCGAATGCGTATCCCAGGGCTTTTCCCGCTCAAGGACAGCCAGTCACCAAATACGCGCACTACTATCGGCGGATCCTAATCAGTTCAGACGAAATTAACTAATCGCCGCGGCCATTCATAAATCTATCTGCCAATCTGCGGCGGAAGACAGGTATAAAAGCCCGCCCCGCGGGCCAAGGAGCCAACATTCCCCGGAAACCCGCAGAATGAAGCTCATCGCAGTGACTCTGATCGTCGCCCTCGTGGCCGCCGCCCAAGGAGCCAAGCTCTCCGACAAGCTGGCCAAGATCGTGCCCAGCTTCGCCACCGGGTTCGTGATCAACGGCACCGAGGCCGCGCCCCACTCCGCCCCCTACATCGTGTCCCTGGCCACCAACCCCGCCAAGCACTCGCACATCTGCGGAGGCACCATTGTCAGCAAGGACTGGGTGGTGACCGCCGCCCACTGCATCTCGAACCCCGTGGGCATGAGCGTCATCGTCGGCCTGCACACCCGCGCCGAGGTGGACGAGCTGACCCAGCAGCGCGAGGTCGACTTCGGCCGCGTCCACGAGAAGTACTCCGGCGGAGTGGGCCCCTACGACATCGCCCTGCTGCACGTGAGCGAGCCCTTCGAGTTCAACGAGTGGGTGCAGGCCGCCACGCTGCCCAGCCGCGAGCAGGTGCACGAGGGCGAGACCCATCTGTACGGGTGGGGCCAGCCCAAGTCGTACATCTTCACCGCCGCCAAGACCCTGCAGACCGTGACCACCGAGATCGTCAACTTCGACGAGTGCAAGGAGGCCCTGCCCGCGGACGCCCCCCTGGCCGAAAGCAACATCTGCTCCTCCTCGCTCCAGCAGAGCAAGTCCGCCTGCAACGGCGACTCCGGCGGCCCCCTGGTCGTCGAGTTCGAGAACGCCCCCTCCGAGCTGATCGGCATCGTCTCCTGGGGCTACATCCCCTGCGGCCTGGCCAACCTGCCCTCCGTCTACACCAGGGTCTCCAGCTACGTCGACTGGATCGTCGACATCCAGAGCGCCTACTACAAGCTCTTCTAAGCGGAAGGGAGCAGTCCGTAGTCCGCGATCCTAGACACGGAGCACAGTCTTCGCTTCCGGTCAGAGCCATGACCGATTGCTGAATAAACGCATCCGAACCAAGTTGAATTTGTTATTTATGGTGCAGGAGGGAAAGGCTTTTTGAGTGGACTTTATGGTCCGTCTGGGAAAGGTTTTCGGGTTCGGTCAGTTTTATTTTATTTATATCTCGATTTCTATTTTCTTTTAATTTAGAGGTTCAATGTTTATGGTGCAATTGGCGCATTAAAAAGCCCTGTGAAGATGATTAGGCATTTCTGATGACCAAAAAAGCTATAAGCTATAATAAAACAGGTTCATTGGCACTCCCCCAAAATATTCACCTCTTCAAAGAAAGACCTATCCAAATCGGTCACATGAGCAGGCAAAACTCAATTACCTCCCTGAATATTGTGAAATAATGGCAAACAACGAAAGTCCAGTCTTTGTTTAGCTTTTTTTTTTTTTTTGCCAAGGTCACGTTACAATTTATGGCGTCTGATTACCCTCGAATCGATCGCTAATCGGAGTTGGATTAGCGCCCGTCCAGTCAGCAGCTTGTCTCCTAATTTATGGCCATTAATACAAGCTCTGGAAAAGCCCCGACTTTCGGAGGCGTGTGCCGCAGATTGCGTTCCAGTCCCGACAGTCATGCACCCGACCAATCAAAGCGATCGAGTGGAAGCTCCTATCGTTCAGATTAGGAAAGTGCTAACTGAGTGGTTGCTGTTGGTTGGAAAAGCTCACAAAGCTCTGCTGCTTACTGTCAACATGTTGCTAGAATATTGCGGAAAACCACTCATTAACAACAAAGGATGACATCTCCCGAAAATGTATGCACAACTACATTAACTTCGGACTTCGAAGATTTTTTGAATGTAATACAAAATTAGATCTCTACCCGTTTGTATTTTTTCAAATATTTAGGAACACTATTATTGTTTCAGGCATTACTAATAAAACATTTTCCGCTCCAAACCAACACTAAATAACTATTTACGATAAGACATCATCAGGGCTATTATTGTTTTATCTGCGTTCCGAATAAGTACTATCGGGAATCCGAATCTCAATGGAGTTCTGGTTCATTCACACCTGGCCAATCTAATCAGTGCGAATAGTTAGCAAAAACAGTCTGTAAGTGATTTACCAGCAGAGTAGGACCCCCAGATAAAACTAAAACCTTCTTAGACAAAGTGGGTCACATAGAGCGATTCGCCATATAGATCCAGGCCAAGAACCAGACAAATCGACTGCAGGGAAACCTTTCGGGGGCTCAAGTGGCCACAGGCGCTGCGAGATTACCGCCGCAATCAGTCAAAGGCGCCACTGCAGGACAAAGCGAACCCGTATCGGGGCCAAGAACACGCCGGTCAGGATCGTAAATCTGCCGGGTGATAACGATAACCGATCTTGGAGTGCTTGTGCTTCGGGCTGGAACCGCAGATTGGGGCACCTATAAAAGGCGCCAGCCGATCGCCAGTCGAACAAACCCAACAAACCCAGCAGAGAACGCAAGATGAGACAATTCGTGGTCCTACTCGCACTGGTCCTGGCCGCAGCCTCGGCCTCGGCCAACCTGATCCCCCGGGCGGCTTTCCCCGAGGGCCGCATCATCAACGGCCAGGAGGCGACGGCGGGCGAGGCGCCCTACATCGTGTCCCTGCAGAACACCGCCGGCTCGCACTTCTGCGCCGCCAGCCTGATCGACGAGTGCACCCTCCTGACCGCCGCCCACTGCCTGACCAGCAGCCAGGGACAGGCGGTGGCCGGTGCCCACAGCCGCACGAGCACGGAGAACACCCAGGTGCGCAAGTTCACCAGCGCCCAGTACGTCGTCCACGAGAAGTACAGCGGCGGCGTGGGGCCCAACGACATCGGCCTGATCCTGCTGAGCGGGGCGGACTGCTTCGACCTGAACACGGTGGCCCGCGACGGCAGCAACCCGGTGGCTGCGGTCGCCCTGCCCTCCAAGACGTTCTCGGGCACCGGCGCCGGACGCCTGTACGGCTGGGGTCGCGACAACTCCGGAGCGCTGCCCACGCTCCTCCAGAAGCTGGACGTGGATATCATCGGCTACGATGAGTGCAGGACCGCCCTGCCCTCGAACAGCGCCCTGGCGGAGAGCAACGTGTGCACCTACAGCGAGGGCAAGGCCGACGGAGCCTGCAACGGCGACAGCGGCGGCCCGCTGGTCCTCACCTCCGAGAGCGGCGTCACCGAGCAGGTCGGAATCGTCTCCTGGGGCTACACCCCCTGCGCCACCACCAAGTACCCCTCCGTCTACACCAGTACGGCTTCCCACCGGTCCTGGATCAACGAGAACAGCAAGCGCGAATAGTCGCTGGACGATGGGAACAGAACATGTATATACTCACTAAATAAACGAACATTGCAAACCGAGAGAAGTCCTGTCTCACTAGAGTAGTCCGGGCAATCCCTGAGGGAGCACCATCTGGTTCTAACCTACTTTTCTGGGGAGTTTCCAATAGCAACTATATCTATTCTATTCCTGTCCCGTATCTAGACTATAACTAGATTCAATGACCACATCTATGTTATCATCTTTTCTACGAACACGATTAAAGCCATATTTTAAGCCAGGCGATTTCGTCGTACCGAACTGTTGAAGGCATGATGAACACTTTTTAGTGATTTATTGGTGTAATTGAACTGATAGCCGTGGACGTCACTGTCTCATTAAAAGAGTAATCTAAACCGCTCTTTAAGAATTATTTAAACACCTTCCGAAATGCTCAAGATTCGATTCAATAATTGGCAGACTAATTGGGAAAGCAATCACCGAAAAGGCAGTTCAGCAATCTAGGCAATAAGTGAGTACTTAAGATAGCTTTAATCTCATGTTATTTCAATAGAATCGATTGCGGATAAACGGATGATTTTTAATAAACACGGTTATACTCACGTCGTCCCAGCGAATGAACTTCTCGCCGTCCTGCAGAGCCTGCGGAACCTCCACGCTGGCGGTGGAGATGTACGTTCCCCCGGCGCTCATCATCCCGACTGCTTTTTCGGATCCGGACTCGGATGCGGATTCGGTTACGGATTCGGTTAGCGGGTTGTGCTCTGTTTACTGAACCGCGGATGGCCGCTTTCTGGTTGCTCTCTGGCTGATTTTTGGGTTCGCTGCGGCTCACAGTTTCCGCTTAGCCACTGCTCTGCATTTCCGTTGCTGTAGTGGCTGCTTTAGCTGCTTCTATTTCTGTTTGTGTCGCAGAATTGGCCTGGCTGCATACAAATGACGCCATCGTCCTGGTCCTTGTCCGAATCCTGGACGTGGTGCGGGCCACAATTAGAGCGCCGTTGTTCTCGCCCCGCGTCCGATCCTTTTCGACTGCATTCTGCGGCTTGATTAAAATTCCGGCCCCGTGCTGCCCGCGGTGTACTGAAATTGTGAAGTGGAAACGGATGTAAGTTGGTTAGCAGAAAACGATTGGTTCAACGGGCTGGTCAGTTGAAAAAATCTCCACAAACTAAGATGACTCTTATTCAAACTCAAAATGTAGCTTTTAAGGCCTTCATATCACCTCATTCTACCATTTAAATCAGACATTCTCCTCACCAACCCTTGACAACTATTGTTCCCCGATTTCAAGCACCCAATTTTGACTATTCTGTAAAAGGGTCAGACCCATCCATCTCTAATTCCCAGCGAGTAAAGACAAGCTGCAGAGACAGAGACACTTTTACAGGCAGCTTGATTAGCGATTCGCCGAAAGTCCGGCGCCTTTGTTTCGCTGCCGCTCGCTGGTCAACCCGATTGCGGGCAGAACCAAAGGTCAGGAGCCGAGGTCGGGGCTGCGGATCGGAGCCACATCATGGGGCTTCCGCTTCCATTCAGGCCGGAGATGGAGACGGAGACGGAGCTCCATTCAGTCGGCCAGCTCATTCAGGGCTCCCGGCTTTGTTTGCCTATTTTTGGGCTGCTGTCGCCGGCCATTGTGTGCGGAATTCCCCTGTAGTTGCTTCCCCTTTGGGTTTTGTTCGGTTTCTGGTTTTTGTGTTCGGCTGCACTTCATTTATGCAGGAAGCCGTTTTTCGGTTCGCTAATTTGGCGCACAAACATTTTTCGTTTTCATTTTTCAATTAGCCGCCGGAGAACTCTTGACCCGGCATTATCGAGTGGCTTTAAATAGACATCCGGTGCTGTTTTCGCCACTCAGGCGAACTGAACTGAACTGAACTGAGTGGCCTCCTAATTTTGGCATAATCCACTTAGGCGGACCGAGGTGACAGCTTATCCAGAAGTTGGATGCTCTGAGGGAGAGGCGCACACGTGACTGCGAGTCTAATACTTTTCTAATTTCTTTTGGCCTTGTCATAACCAATTTGAGCCAGGCCCGCTGGCCAAAGCCAAAGCCGAAACTAAAACTGAAACAGAACCAAAACCAGAAACAGAATCAGTAACTGAAATAGAAATGGAAATAGAAACAGAACCAGAAGCACCCAATGAAAATGTAAGCAAAACTTTTAGCCACAGTCCAAAGGCAACCACAAGCATTCAGCCACCCACAAAGCACACATGGAGGTACACTTTAAACAAAAAAGCGTAAAAATAATGTACAGAATTTATAAATAATATCAATGAACAATGAAAATATTTATATTACGTGTACAATAGTACATTTAATGAGCAAGTAAATACCCACTTAGCATTGATTAGTTGTTTGGTTTGAACCGAAACGATCAATCGCCCCAAAATTTGTTTATTTTAATCCTTAACCCCATTTAAGGAAAAGCCATGCAAATTGTTCACTCAGTGTCTCAGTCTTTTCCCGCGCACCCACACACTCACACACACATGTGCACAAAGTTTTCGCGCATAAAGGAAGTCATTTGTTTGTATTTGTTGCTTCGCAAATAGAATTGAATTTGCGAATTTATTTTGCCGTTTTCCCAGCCATTTTCTGTTTGAAATTGAGTTTGTACATCATAAATTTGCAGGCTGCCAAAGGGGAAGTAATTAAGCATTTTCATTCTGTTTGTGTTCCGACCATTTTTCGAGTTTGTGTGAGTGGCGAATGGACTTCTAGTCGATATCGAAAATGGTTGTCGTAAGTGGAATGAAAATGCGGGAGATGGCTGCTCGATTTCCTCATTTCCATGCTCTGCTCGCTTCGTGGCTTTTCCTTTGGCCTCCTTCTTTTACTTTTCAAATCGTTTTAAGTGTTTTATGGCGAAGGGGAAAAAAATTTATTGCAGGCAATTTGCAGATGTACCCCGAGTGCGTGGAAAAGGTGGTTTGTTGGATTCTGGGTGGTTTGGGTGGTTCTGGGTGGTTCTGGGTGGTTTGGGGACCTGGCGCTCGAGATACGCAACGGAAATCACAGCGACAACGAACAGATTTCAAGTGACTTCGCCTCATCGCCTGCTCCCATTCTGAAAAGCGAGATAGAGCGAGGCCATGAATCATGCATGCGACAGAAGCAGAACGAAACGCTTTGCGCCAGCCTCCCCTGCGATTTTCCCCCGCTGACCCCCTGACCCGCTTACTGGGAGAGCGGCATAAATCAAAGCGCCAGTCAAAATATGTTTTCCTTTGCCAGCTCACATCCAAAGGTTAAACGTTGATATATGTTGCGAGCCAGGGCGCACTTGTTATTGGCTTGTTTATTGCAGACTTCCAGTTGATCTGAGACCAATTTATGGTTCTACCAGTCAGGTCTGCTGGCTTTTGAGATCTATTTTATAGTAATTAAAGGAAGTACAAGTACATTTAAGTATCTATTTGTAAAGTCGAGCGACAACTTTTCAAAGTGAATCTGAAGAGCTCAAATTCAATTGGTAATTGAAACTAGTAATTCCCCCTCGCACTCTTTTGTGCGCCCGACCGAGTTTTAAGTACCTGCACCTAAGTGTCCATTTAGTTCATGGACAACTTTTCCGAATGAATTGGGATGCCCCCGGTGACAGCGCTTTTCCTCCGCCTTCTTCTTCTTCTCTTTCTTCGCTGGCATTTCCGGGAAAAGTGCGGAAGTTGCTTGTCAAACGGCAATCTTCCCAGCAACACACGCACACACACCGACATGATAATCAAATCAAGGCGCCAGCTATTTGGTTAATGTGCATGACAGCGTCGGGAAAAGCAAGGAAAATGCGGGGGAAAAGCTAAAAAAATGCTGCGCGGTCCAGGGGAAAGTTAAAATGTTTTAAACTGAAGCAGGTGAGAGCCGAAAGATAAGAGTTCTGGGGAGGAAAGCCGAGACGGCGGCAACATTTGTGTAGCACGCTTTTAGGGGCGACAGTTTTCCTCTCTTTCCCTCCTTCTCTCTCTCATTTCCCCGCGCGGAAATTGCAGCGACAGCCTGCGGCGCTTTATGTAGTGGGTGTGTGTGTGTGTGTGCCGACTATAATTTCATTTGTGGTACATAAAACTTTGCCAGGCTTCATCTCTTTGGGCCAAGACGATGCGAAGGCCAGAAGAGAATCACATTAAACTAATTGCTTTAGCTTGTCGTTGTTCTTGCTGCCATTGTTTCGGCTCCTGTCGTCGAGTGTTTGATTGTTAGTGCTTTTAGGCAGCGCAAATTATATTTACTTGTATGCCAAAATGGTTTCTGTCCGCATTTGGCAGCCATTAAAAATTGAAAAGCCACCGTTACACACTTGCACACGAACGCAGCCCAGTTTGACAGCCACTGTGAGTGTCCTTAACCTCGACGATTTGGGGCAACCGAAGGTCCTTAAGCTAAACACTTAAACAACGTTTTAAATATAATCTCTTACTGCTAGTGTCTACTTTGTGCAGTATGAGTAATTCTCCTTTATTTAAGCAAAATTTCAAATAACTGCTCACAGCTCACCTTTGACCTTCCAAAATGAAAAACAAGGGAGCAACCCAAAAGGCTGAACATCAAATATTAACTGAGGATGGCCCTAAGGTCACCGTAAGACGATTTACCTTTCGCTATTCTTTGCAATTTCCCATTTTCCCTTTCTTGCAGATCTTTTATTATTCAAATCTAATTAGTGCCTTTCCCGTCGAGCATAAACACTTTTGAAAGACACGGAATACTTGGTGAATGAATGGAATTGATTTGCGGAGCTTTGTGGCTTCGATTCGCATCCGAATTGTTTGGCATTCAATACAAAAATTCCTTCCCTACTTCCCATCATGTTTTGCTAATGTTTTTCTGTTTCTGTTTCGTGGGGAAAATTCATCACTCAGAGAGATGATGAAGGTTTGAAAGCGGGGCGGTGTGGTGGTGGGACAAGTCAACAACTTGCCGGCCCTTGGGCTCTCTGCACAGCCGCTCATATCGGTAGCATAAAGTACACAAATAAATAAAAGTATAAAGCGGTGGACCGCTCCAAGGAGGCGGTGTGGTCGAGCAAAAGAAAAACAAAATTAAGTTCAATGACACCCCAAAACAACAGCTCACGGCCGTAAATTCGAGTTGCGAGTTTCTGGCTGTTCCTGGCTGTTCCTGCCTGGAACCCTGGAACCTCCATCAACGTCAAGTCGAGTTTTCCTCGGCATTCCCCCGAAAACCCCCGAAAACACAGCCCCCGCCGAAGCTTTGTGCGTGTATAGGCGCGCCTCCAATTGGAAAACTTTTGTTACACTTTGTTTTCGGGGCTTTGCTTCTGGGGGGCGGAGGGAGAGCAGCCGAGCGGGAGCAATTTATAATTCGAAAATTTCGTCATTCATTTAATTTTTTGCATCGGAGTTTAGTGACCCACTCCTCGGCCGATTGATAACGCCCGCCGATAGGCGAGTTGTGGAAATATTGACAAAACAATTGTTTTCAATGGCACGCGAGGTAATCCTCTTTGCTCGCCCCACTTTTGGGCACCCCTATCCGCCGGCTCGTGGCAGTTGTTTGTCTAAATTTTCTATTTATAACGCCGGCGATGAGTTCAATGTTTGATTGGCCTCCGCTGAAGGGTAAAATGAACCTGCGGTGTGGACGCCTTTCCGACAGGGAACTGAAAATGCGGAGCTCGGGCACCGTAGCATACCTTTTGGCCTCGAAAACGGCAGGAAACAAAATTTTAGAAGGGATTTGCCGAGCTTATGGCGATGATAAGTTTTAGGATATGCCACTCCTTTGAAAACGAGATTAAAGTTATTGCTATTATTATTATATTTTCAGGATCAGGATAACTAATTGGTCGGTTTGATACGAGCAACCATAAAGTCACAACCATTATCTGTCATTATCGTGATGGGTAACTTGCCGTATAAATTGCGCGATGCCCCCGCAATTTGGTCTGGTTTTTCGAGCCATTAGCATACCATGAGCACCACCTGCACCACTCGCACCACCATAAATCGTCTGCCACTGCCACCGATTCCGATTACAGGTAATTGCCCGACTAACTGCACGTCGGATAACCAAAATAAACAAATAAACAAGTGCACGGCATTAATTGCTCGAGTTA